GATAGCATCGTGGGCCAGCCAATCGAGCTCTGAAATCCCAGGCGCAGTCTCTCCGTAATTGTAGAGGTCATCGTATAAGGTGTCCACCGATGGGGGCGTCGCAGGAAGGACGGCGGCCATGGGTGACGTGGGTACCATGGGTGCAACAGGAGCCGTGGGCATATTCGCATTCTCTAGTGGGAGCTGTAGATACGCATCCACATCAAAGTGGCCGAAATCCATAGAGGGCAAAGTGATCATATCGGAAAAAGCAAAAACTGTGAGGCGGGGAGACTGTAGCTGGCGGGCTCGTATCTATCTATGTTTTCTATCTCGATTCTCCTGTCCAATGCTTCCGGGTATTCATAGGAAAGGTCCTGGGTGGCTAATCCGCTCGTATGAGTACGCCACCAACACCACGGTTTACAGAAACTCGCATCCGCATTTCCGTTCTTTGAATCTAAATATGTCTAGATCGATACATATAGCAGCCACTCATATGCAGTCCCTCGAGACCTTCTTATCACATTCGCATGGATGCTGCGCCTAGCGCAGAACCAGACATTCGGGACCACGCTGGTTCGCCATGGCCCCTTTTCGGACATGCACGCCTTTTTGTTTTTCGGACATTAGGAGCTTTTTTCGGCATCTCCGTCTCGCCCTGTGGATGCTGCGGCAGAACCAGACTGGCGGGACCAATGAAGCCACGGCCAGCCCTATCATCTTGGCCACACGTCAAAATATACAATGAGCGATGACGCCTTTGTGGTATATAATTAGGTAAATAGGTACGTACACTAGTGAATAGCTATACCTACATAATAGGCACAGCTGGGTAATGTGTCAGGCGCTTAAAGGTAAGTTGTGGGGAGTGCGAGCGTGGGACCCTGTATTAGCTAATTGTTGGACCGAACGCCCCCATTCACAAGATGCGGAACCCGCATTAGTTTCTAGTCATGTGACATGCAGGCGAAGGCGGTTCGAAAAATTATCCGGACACTTTGAAAAGCGATTCAAATTCACGACAGGCTTACCAGCGCAATAATGGTTCAAAAGTTACAAAACTATTATTAATTTACAATAACCTTCTTCTAAAAAGACATGTCTCTTCAGAATTTTGATTTATGTCTTTGCCTAGATATAAAGCTAGTATTTGCGACATGACTTTTCATAGGTGTCCGGATAATTTTTCCAACCGCCTTCGAGGACAGCGGCAAAGTGGTTGCTAGATACAGCGTGTGCTAGGGACTAGCTCGGGCTCGGTTACACTCGCACTACGGGGACTGCCCACTGCCAAGCCGCAAGTAGCGCTAAAGCGCGCAAAGCGTTTTGAGCTCTAAGCTTCAATAGGAAGCTCTGGCCATGAGGGGTAAATAGTGAGCTATACCGAAAATGTAGCCCTTGAGTGTATGAATATCCTCCGTACTCTCTCCGTACTCTCTTCTGTCCTGCAATACACTCCAACTAGGAACACGATGAACCCATATACCAATACTCAAAAATGGCAAATTCGGGAGTGGCAGGCTAATGGCATGTCATGGAAGAAGATTCAGCGACGATATAATGAATTATATAACGATAATCGAAGTTTGGGTGGCTTGCGAAAAGTAGGAAAACGTGGCCGAATCACCTCTTACAGTTTGGATCGTCCTCCATCGAAACGACAAAAACCGATTCCATTAGCCACAACAGCGCCTATGCAGGACGACAGAATTCTTGGGCCAGATCTAGGAAAGGAGAGGGAAACAGTGTTGAGCTTGCAAATAGAGGTCGTGGCAAAACTGGCAGAAACGGCCTCGAGGAGCTTTCGTGACTTGATTTTGGAATATGGAGGGGGAAGCACTTAGGCGCACAAGTAGGGGAGAATAAGCATAGAACCTGTCACATGCATCGTATGGTTCCCCGTATAAGATGCCGCTGTTATATCCTAATTAGGAACCTCTAGCCATCCATTCTTTGCGCTTCTAGCCTGGCCAGAGGTTGACTAAATCTGCTATAATTAGCAACCTCTGGCCATTCAAGGCTTCCTCTGGCTTGTCCAAAGGTTGACTCTACCAGTAGATAGAATCTGCTGTATATATAGACCGCCATATCCGTCTTGTATTTTAACAACTTCACTCATTATATCTATTAAACATGGCTCTACAAATCCCAGAACGCTCAGGGCTGTTTCCTTCTAGAAAATCCGGGAACAACTTGCTTCTAGGGGGTTTCCGCTCTCCTACAGCAACGAGCCCTCAAGATCTATCTTGGCACCTACCTGAGGAAGTTGCAGCCCATAATGTAACCAGGTCAAAAGCCCACCATCTTCTCCTAAAGCTCGGTCACTACGAAACACTGCTGGCCCTTGAGAGAGAGTCATCGCGAGCCCTAACATTGTCTCTGCAATCGATGCAGAGACAAGTTGTTAGCGCAAATGAGAAACGCACACACGCTGAAGAGGCCCTTAGAAACTGTCCAGGTTGCCAGCAGATGAATAATATTGGGATAGCAGTTAGTACTCAAACTCCTATTTATGCTCAAGAGGCTAACCTTTGTGCAGATTGAGACCGACGTATCTCAGAGAACGCCATTCTTCGATATGGGTGTTAATAGTGATGAGGGTTTACTGATTGAGCAAAATCGACAGCCATCCAAGCGAAAGAGGGCCGACGAGGACCATATGCCAATTAAGCGCATGAAATCAGGGCCTGAGAATGAATAAGCATAGGCCGTAAACTTAGAAGAGTAGTGGTAGATCGTGGTATTTATGTATTCTCAAATCGTGACTCGTCGCCGTATGAGAATGCCTGCTGGAAATTGCTCCCCTGTGATCCAATGAACAACAATCTACGCGCCGTATCAGGAAGCGAAAACACTTTAAAAGACGCAACTCCCACACCCGAAGTCTTTCCAACATAATAAAACGTCACACGAACTGGGGAAGGTGAATACGCCGCACTGTTCATCGACTTCGACCATCATGGAAACAGAGAAAAAGTATGCACAGGATGGGTGTACCCCAGGTAAATATACCCAACCCATTTTAAATGCTTCTAATTAACCTCTGCCTAAGGAACCGCGATTGTCATCTCTGATCATGATGATCCTGTTGTCAGACGAGAGCAAATACGCACCCATGATCTGGATTTGGATAAAAATCGGGATATTGCGATGCTTCTCCTCAATCTCCGGGGCCATGTCGACAAACTAGAAGATGGGCAAATCCAGCGCCAGAACTATGAACTAGAAATTGCGGGCTATAAGTCTCGAATTACGGCATTAGAGGAGGCTGAGCGAGAGAGGATAAAGGCGTCAATGTGCCGTATCTGCTACGGAACCCCGAATTCTCATTTTTTATCATGCGGCCATGCATTTTGTCAAGAGTGCATTTTACGATGGGTTCTCGTACGCAAAACATGCCCAACATGTAGGAAGCCATGTACGCTTATATCAAAGGCATATAATAGTATCATCATATAGATAGCTAAATATGCTTTAAACTAAGCAGGTCCTGACGCGCGGAATAAAAGATTGATTCAGAACTACACACTCGTTTCTCCGACAAGATACATATCAAAAAAAGATAAGAAGGAGAAGGAACAAAATGAGCAACAGCCGCGCGTAGTAATATATAATGGGCCATGAGTTTAGAAAAAGCGTCGATGCCCATCCAATTGGAAGCCGATGTCCCCCATTCCGGATGGGAGGGCTTATGGCTGGCGGCGTTGGGAAAGTTTGGGTGTATGTGGTGATTGCTGAAGCTGTGGCAATGTCGTTGCGATGACCTAAACCAATTGAGACGGCGGTTTGGTGTGAGCTAACAGCCTGGCTGGTTGGAAAGAGGCTGTTGCACGCAAAAGAACCTGTCGGGGTCGCAAATGTCAGGTTTTCCCTGCTCCAGGGCCCGAAAGATCTGCTGATATTAGTATAGGCGAGTGCGGCTGGATAGAGACAAACCTTTGATAGGGGCTTGTGTGAGCCAAGCTCGAGGTAGCTAAGAACAGTGCTGTTTGAAGGAGATGCATTATTGATAGCTTGAACAACCGTGGAAAATAAATTAATATGCAATCTAGTCCTTGATGTCCAGCTTTATTTAAGTACTGCCCAAGCTAAGCTAACACTAATGAGGAAGCTCTGGCATTGCAGGGGTCAATTAGCGGTATACAGAACTTAGTTTACCATATATTGAAGAATGTCCTTCAAGTTCGGGGTAAGGGGAACTATCGCGCTTATTCGAAATACCGACGATAATAAGAAACCGTTTGGCAAGCATTCTACACAACTCCGATAACGCCGAGTCAGTGCAATCCAAACTCCATGGATTCTACAAAGTGTCCTATAACGCCGAGTCAGAGCAATCCAAACTCCATGGATCTCACAAAGTGCCTCATAGCGCTTCAAACCACCTCTGTCGAAGTCCTATGCTGCTTTCGATGCACTATGAGTGTTGAAGCCATCTCAAAGAATGGCCGCGTTTCTTCAGACGAAATTTGTGCCAGCGGGATGGTCAAGTTTGGGCACAATCTGTACTACTGTAGCCGCTGCTCAAAAATCGTGGGATATAAATGATAATGGATGCAGGGTGGACTCGCCTCATAAGAGATTCTGAGCGATGGCGATTTGGGGGTCGATAGGAGAGTGGAGCTGGAGCTTAAGAATGCGGAGGGCTTCGAGATCGTGGAGGAGAAGGATGGTGGGTTGTTGGCTATTCTTTGAGAGGTTATAGAAGCAATATGATATTTATTTGTATATAAAAATAGTCGTGTGATAGTTAAACAATAAATATTATCATTCTCCCAGCCTCTCAGCCTCCTAAGTGCACCATTCGATAGACTCGTAGATTTCCGAGGAATTAATCTATTTAGCAACAAATAAGTATACTGCTGTCGTCAAGAGTGGCGACTACATACATAGATTGTCGAGGAGTTTGCGATCTCCATCTGGAAGCCGTTTAAGATGGAAATGCTGGCGAAGAGTGATGTCAAATTCCCGAGTGCTTTCCGTCAAGTATCGATCAAGACGGGAAAGGCAGATTCCTTCGCCATCTTCTGCTTGTAGGCTGTTGGCACGCTTGACTTCTTTTAACTTAGTCTGGATAGCATCCACCGTTCGTGGCACGCCCTCGAACCGAGCATTATGGAGACACTGAATCTGTTCCAATGAGAGGTTGAGTAGTTTGTAAAATAACATCCAGTTTATTTCAGCTTTACTATAGGTTGGGTGACCCATCGTGTAGGTACAAAAGATAAAGCAACGTACAAATAGAGCGTGCAAATGAAAGAGCAAACTATAAAACTAAGAGCGAAGAACAAACAGAAACCAAAGTGTAAACAGAGAGCGAACAAAGGAAATATAAAGACATTTCAGCCACACCCTAGGCTCTGCCATTCCCCTAATTACATGGACACAATTCTACTGGTGATGGTGTTGGTAATGGAGTAACCGGTTTGACTGTTATGGCATCCGCGCTTGCCGCCTGGGACATCGCTGATCCAATCCCAGCACTAGTGGTCGCCGCCCCTCTTGTCCCACTTTGTGTTGGACTTGCAGACGATCCACTTTGTGTTGGACTTGTAGACGACCCACTTTGTGTTGGACTTGTAGACGACCCACTTTGCGTCCGACTTGCGGACGATCCACTTTCTGTCAGACTCGTAGCCGCCACGTCCCACCCACTAGTTGTAGATGTCGTAGCTGCAGTAGAGGTAGATGTTGTCAAGGTGGCAAATGTCGTTGCAAGCACCTCGCAAACTAAAGATGCAGTCTGGGCTAGTGCTAATCTTGCGACGTCGCTTTGGCCCTTAACAAGCCTTACCCGCGAACACAAAGCTGCGACTTCCCCAGCACAGAGCCTATATATGTTAGCCTTTGGACTCAAAAAAGTAACTCTCATACTAACCACGATAGAAACGCTTCCCCGTTAGGTACCTCGTTTGGGATTGTTAGTTCCATCTGCTGAGCGCCAAGGCAGGTGTTGGGACGTGTATCAAAATGCACAGGCAGGAAGTTGTCGTCTGCAAATGACAGCGTGGCTTGACAGCTACGGCCAATTGGATTCCAGACGCTGTAGTTAGCTGTGGTTAGCCGAGATACTACCGCTATGATGACAATGCTTACGAAGCTCGTGCAACCTCCCCTGCTGCTAAAGTACTTATAGGGCTAGTTATGCACATCGCCGGAGCTTCTTGAGAGGCCGCCAAAGCAACGATTAAGGAAGCAAGTAACGTATTGACGATCTTCATTGTAAGGTTTAGGAATGATAAAAGACGATTAGTTAAGAGTGATATTGAATGGTTTGTTTGGTAATGATGGGAGAACGGCTCCTAGAGCTCATTATATAGTTTGTCTGTTCTCCAGAAGTCAGTCTATAGTATACGATTTTCTGCACTCGTTTTTCAGTATTCGTGAAGCGGTACCCAAGGCGTGGCCACTTCTACATCTAGGTTAGTAGCTGACCCCCTGCAACCATTGCTCCCAAAATGGTACAATCACTAGTCCCTACTTGGAAACTCTGGCCAACGGGTGCGGCCGGTTGTGGCCGTTGGCCAGAGTTTCCAAGTAGGGACTAGTGGAGGCCCTCCGTTGGCTAGGGACTTGTGGTCCACCCTTTGCCGCCGTAACCTTCGGCAAATCGGCAGCCTTCCCGCCCATAGCCCTGTTTGTTTCTGTTTTCCGCTTTTCGCTCTTTACCATGCCTCCTGTCATAAATATCAGGCACGCCGGACTCTTCTTCTCTTCTAAGATGCCGCAAACATGTCTAAAAGCTACGCAAGTCATGATAACAGCTCGCAGGAAGTAGGGCCACTCCTGCTAACGCCATTGGAATCACCAAGACCTCTACTGATGCCCGACAAGCCACTTCCTCCTTCACCAAGATTCGCCCCAACGCTGCTTCTGCATAGGCGAAATAAAGCCCTTAAGGAGAGCCAGATACGTCTCAAAGCAGAGATCACACACTTACGGCAACTCCTCGCCCACTACCATGAGGTGATTAAAGCAACGAACGAACTAGTGAAGGGCACAACTCTAGGGCTAAAGCATGTGGAACAGTTGACCCTCAACATGAAAGAGAATGAGACGAGGATTCAGAGAGAGTGGGATGTGTATTTACAACAGCAAGGCTTCGATATGGATGCTGCGAACTTTTTTTGACTTGGGGATATCTAGTTTAATGAAATGTTAAAGAACCTATAAGTTAAATTACTCTCACGTAGTCTCGAAGGGTCGGGCATTTCACGCCTCTTCGACGGACATAATGGCAATGGGCGAGAGGTCTATCATGTGGCCGCCTTGAAGTTTATGTGTTATGCATCGCGGTAGGATGCCTTCATGTTCATTTATTCCTTATCAAGGTGAGCTACCCTCATGCTCTTATTCTAAGTTATTTTCCAGCATACCACCGCCTCATACTCTTATTCTGAGTTATTTTACGACGTTTCGCTGCGTGGTGTAAAAGGGGAAGCCGCCTCTTATGATCCGGACGACCAAAAACACGATGAAGGCCCTGATCCTTCACCAAGTCTAATAATTTGTAGGGACAGTTACTTATACTGCGAGCTCGTTGGGTTATCCCGTCAACCTTGACGTCTACTAGATCATCCATGGAGGATATACGAAACTCCACTGGTGTGCAGAATGGCTCGCCGTGCTGTATCTTGGTATAGGATACCTGATCAACACAGGGAACCTGCTCTGTAGACTGAACATAGAAGCGTGCCTGGCTCTCCTTTAGTTGCCATAGCAAAGCGCGTAACTCCCGTGTACCCGGGTCTAACCGGCACAATATTCGAGCTTGGCACAGAAGGCTGAATCCGGAAGCCAATGGCAGACAGTCAAGCTCTAGGTAGAAGAGCGATGCCAGGATATTGTCAATGCAGCGACGAACTTCGGCCGCTAGTAGTGAGGCATCAGTGTCGACTCTCTCTCTTAGGCCTTGCATACAGTTAACATCATCCAGCTTTGGCTCTGGTCCATGAAAGCCGAGTGTGAAGCGGTGATAGCGAGATCGGTGTTCTTGAGGTACACTATTCAGAAGCTCCAACCAAGTCTTCTGGCCGTCTAGCAGCTTCATGAATGACCTAAACAGTCTTGGCAAGAACAACTGGGAGATCCAGGAGGTATTTGTTCTGCCTTCTGTATCGCCGCTATCACTTTCAATAGCTGAACCAGTCCCAAGGGAGAGCACAAAATCGGGCTGCTTTCCTTTGCGATCCCATATCAGATCTTGTTCCCAGAGTGCGAGGTTGACTGGATTGTTGTGGCCCCCAAGGCCGCCATCGTGGTAACCCTTATATGGCTTGAAGTATCTATCAAATGCATCAGCTGGTAGCACCCTGTTTATTCAAGATTATACCCACGGGGGGGCGGCGGAAGTTACTCGGGCACTAATGAGGTTTTAGTAAGTGATACCGATGGTAGCGGAATAGGTGACCTACACCTCCCAAACCTTCATGTCTCGTGCGTCTTTCCCGCTCGGGGTTGTGTAACCTTTTTTAATTAGTATCCTATAAATTAATGAAGAAAGATTCCTACACACCGCAGCCCACTGGTCTTTGAGGACCGCTATAGTTTGTAAAGATCACGGTAGAGGATTTGTCTGTGGTTGTAGCCGTGATTGCGATTTTAGTACTAGTTGCATTGCCAAATAGGACCGCATCTTCCCCAAATGACGAACAGATAGCTTTTTTGATTCCGGAGGAGCTATAGCGACTGCCAGTAGTGCATGAGACAATGATGTGTCGGATCATCTGGATTATACCTATCGAATGCAGCTGGGGGGGAAGTCCAGTGTGGAATGCTACCCCTGAAAGCGTCTCATACCGATTGTCACACTCTTCGACTGACCAACCCTCGCCAGACAGCCCCCAGCCCGTCAATCCGCCTATATTAAAGTTAGCATCATCCATCCATAACTTGGCTAGACTGTCTCACCAGAACTTGTTCCAACCACAAGGTCAAAATGCTCCTGAATGGGCATTGGGAGGCGTAGGTTAGATTCCAGTACTTTAAGCCATCGAATGCCGACTACGCCGCGCACTCCTCCCCCATCAGCAGTAAATACGCGGACCCCGGCAGTTGGAGGCTTAAGCTTGACAACCTTGTTTACCTCAACATCACACAATGGGCAAAATTTGACCGCTATGGTCCACGGCGCACCTGGAGCACTCCTACCATAATTGACGAGGCACAGATCACAGAAGGCATGTCCGCAGGAACAAGCATGCTCTGGTCGCCTTGCTACGCAGCCAAAGCAGGAAGTTGTGCTGCGAATTTCAGCCCATTCTTCACGAAAGTAGTATAGACAGCTCTGATGCGCAGCAGCAGCACTTGTCTTTCCTTCAGCAATAACAACAACGTTCTGACAAAACTGATGTTCGATTGCATCAGTTAACTGCAAAGTATCAAAGGCATTCTCTTCTGCATTTTCGCTCCGAGGATTACGAATGCCCTGACAAATCTGCTTGTAGAGCTCATCAAAGACGGCGCGGGGATTAAAAACTGCTGCCATGTTAGGTGGTGTACCGTTAACAGAAGCAAGCGCCTTACCATGCATTTCAGGAGGGTACGCATCCAGGGCTAGAGCGGATGCAATAAATGGAACAGCGAAGGTGTGGAGGCGTACGGAATCAACTTGACTCATAAACTCTGACAAGTGCGTAGCCATGTTTCTTGGGACAGGACTCGGAAGGCGTGACGCACGTATGAAGTTGAATGGTCTCACTACATCGCCGCAAAAGTGGTCGCATGCGAAGCTAAAAAGCGATGTGAGGTGGGTCGCAGAGAAGATAAATTGGGCCTTCGAACGTTCGATGCATACACTCTCCGACTCGTCTAAGATTTGTTTTCGAAGCGCTTTCCACTCTCGGTGGGGAGATTGAGGCTGCGGGAGAGCTAGTATGCGTATATTTCCAAAATGAGAAAATAGCATCGCTATATTTGCGGGAGAGATCCGACCTCGAGTTCGCTCTATCGGCGACCGGCTGCGATGTGCAGCCTCTTCCACAAGCATTCGGAGAAACTGTGGCATCGCAGTCTCCTCGTTGAATTCGCCGCTGTTGTTTTCTTTTAGTAGAATCATGATCCGGGGTTGTGTGTTGTTCGGGAGGTCCGACGGGCAATTGATGACATTTACCAGCCATGTCGCCAAGAGCATCGCGACTTCCCCAAGTCCCCGGAAGTCGTCTGCAAAGAAGCAGATCAGGGTGCTAAAAGGTAGCATAATTTGAGTGTAAAATAGATTAGAAATATCTTTTGGCTCAATTCCAATCCCTAGCGGCATCCGCTTTCGCCAGGTTAGCGACCTGCGCGTGATACCTAGAGGGGCTTTTCCAGCTATGATCCTGCTAAAAGTCTTTGGGACGTGAAGTTCGCAGTCGGCAATGAGCACTGGGGATTCCCAGCGAGTAGTCTCTGGATCTACAGAAAGCCGAATATCGCCACTGTGATTTGGTGCTCTAGCCATCCCGAAGCCCAGCTTCTGAATGGATGCCGTCTTCTGCACCTCTCCTACCAGCATTATCATCTGTGGAGCTTGCGCATCTGCATCCACTAGGTCAGAAAACTCCGCATACGCTTGGCGGTGCTCCTCAAACACTAAATCATCGAGACCAGCTCGAATATCTATCCAGGTAGACCTAGCCATTGTAAGAAAAGTGAAGACGGCAATGAAAGGGATACGACAACAGTATATTATTAATGTTGGGAAATTGTGAAGGGGAGCGAGACAGAAGACACTCGAGACGGAGTTTAAGTATGGACTTTAATGGCCTACTATAAATAGATTTTGGAAACTGTTATTCCAACCTCTGGACACTAAGAATTGCGGGAAACAGGGACCAGGATTGCGTTTCCTCATCTTTTTCATTTAAAGTTTAGATCCCGTTTTCAGTTTCCACCACCTGTGTAGATGCAACGCTCAAACCCGTTCACAGTTCTCTATTTCGGTAGTAGTTGGCACTGTTGATGGCGTCGACCCTTCAATCCTATGTTATTTACCAGCAATTTAGATGACCTCGTTTAAGGATCTCAATGTCTCCAAGAACTTTAGCTTTATAATGAACTATTCCCTCTATTAAGACATCTAATAGTAAACGTCTTTACGTCTATTGCTAGCATCCCTCCTCCCGTATCCTCATCTTTGCTCAATCGATAGGCACTGCTGTGAGGATCGCTATGTCTAAGCAAGGTGCTCTCCAATCTCCACCAGTAGTCTTTGGGGGCACTGTCCAGTCGTAGGAACTATTCCTAGATTCAGGATCTGATTGTGAATTGAGACAGTCCAGGCCGGAGTAGTGGAGCTATATCTCCCCCGCGTCTCCCGCCTTACACAAAGGTTTCTTCGAGCATACCTTGCTCCCTTTATGTGTTTGCGTAGCTCGGATGCCCCTCGAAAATTACTACCGCAGTACATGCATGTTCTCATGCACTGAGCGATAGTTAGCTCGGCGTTGTGTTTTGGCCAGCCTTTGTAGATTTCTTGGTGTGACGAGCATGCACATCCTCTCCATTCTGCCGCTATAGAATTGGCTGGGGACAGCGCAGCTTCTGCTATGTTGTACACCGCATCGTTGACGCTGTTGTGTGCATTTCGCTCTGCCTGAATCCCCATCTCCTCTTCATTCACATTGATGATTGACCGCTCTACTTGCTTCAGGCTAAGCGAAGTATCCTTTATACGCGTTTTTGTTGCACTGATTATCTTATAAAAGTTATCGAGCTGCTGCTGTAGGTGTGCGATCTCTGCCTCATGAAGTTTCTTGCTGTCCTCGAGGGCAATCTTTCGTCTATGTAGAAGTGATGGTAGGGTGGATCTCGGTGAAAGAGGAAGTCTTAGTTGTTCCGTCCCCTTGTCATTTGTGGTGCCATTTTCGTAGATTTGAGACATGTTTGCGGCCTCTTAAGGTGGAGGAGAACAAAAAGGCGGAAGACGGGAGACGTAAATAGTTCTATCGTGGAGGCTGACCAAGGCATCGTTGGCCAGAGTTTCCAAATACGGACAAGTGCACTTTAAGCGCTATAGCTGTAGTGAGCAAACATTAATGCAGGAGAAAAGCTCATAGATGCGGATGCGAGATTAATGAGTGAGACGTCTCGGTCGTTGCGGGAAGGCTGGATTTTAACGCTACACTACTATAATTAAAGATGCAAAAGCAAGCGAATGCCTTCTACTGTCTGACTCTCAACGCGCAACCCCCCAAGCCCTACAAAATAAAATCTCTTCCCCAAAAGCAGAAAACGCCTCATACCACCCCTCCCACCCCTCCCACCCCTTCAACCCAGCAAGGCGACTTAGCAACACACTCTGTAAGCTGTGATGCGCCATTCTAGCATCTTCCACGCCCTCCTCAGACTCCACGCCCTCCATAGACTCCACGCCCTTTTCATACTCCACGCCCTCATCTAGCATGTCCTTGACCCACCTCGTCTCCTTCTCTGATTCACTGACGCTACACCACAAAAAGTACGGCCCATGCACCAGCGCCAGTTCGCGATATGTGCACCGCCGCTTTGCGAGATTGATGTCCTCACTCTGCTCTCCAGGTATCCCACAGTTGTTGTTGCAACTGCCTGCGCCCCATGTCGACCTGTCACCGTAGTCAAACGTCGTGCTGGCGACCCAGACAAGGGCGAGCATGCTCGCTAGCGCAAGCTTATCTTGCTGACATATCCATAATTTTTGGCTACGATGTGCGTCATCGATGGAGATCTTCTTTTCTTCAACTGGCGTGCTGCCTGAAATGCGCGCATCAGACAGTCTAAGGAGCATATTTAGGCCGTGGCTCTTGAAGACTTTGATGCCAGAAAGGCCGCAGCAGGCGCAGATGCGCGTGGAGGTCCCAAAGATGGAGACTAGTAGGTTTGGGATGGTGACGTTAAGGAGCTGGGAGTTAGAGAGGTCGCGGAGGACTTTTTTGCGCTTTTCCTGCTCAGCTACCCAGGAAAAGGTATATGGGAAGCGGATGAGGGTGGGTATGCAGCGTGAGAGTATGTGTTTCGGTTTTAAGGGGGGCGATGGGCGGGTGAGGATAGGCCAGGCGAGGATGGGCTTTTTAGACGTTCGTTTTCTTTTTGGGTAGAGATAAGATGCGAACTGTCGAGAGAGGTACTCTTCGTGGCTCTTTAGGATGGATCTTATTGTCTGTATCAATATATTAGCAAGGTGGGGATATAAGCTGGGCAAGAGTGAGACGAGGCATCTACCTTGGAGCTCCCAAGCAAACTCCCGATATCCCCTGAGCCTAGTTGCATGACTATGTTAAGGAAAATCTCGACGGGTAGCTGCTGTAGTCCATCTGGATGTAGTGATGCCATCTTCGGAATATGGACAGGTCAGGACTATGAAGCGCTTGCAAAGGAATTACAGCGTCTAGAAAGGAAATTGTTGGATATGAGAAGGACATCCAAGCTTAGGACACGCCAAGAACCCAAGCTTGGGACATGCCCAGAATCCAAGCTTGGACACTCAGGAGGTCATCACACAAGCCCCTCTCTTTGCGGTAGGCTTATAAGCCTTGCCTCCCAAGCTTGGATTCTTGGCGCGTCCCAAGCTTGGCATTCCCGTGCATTCGTGAAGCGGTATTCTCATTTTTTGGTGTGGCCACCTCTATATCCATGCTTACTCGCTGATCCCCTGCAGCCAGAGCGCTTAAAGCGGTACCAGCCAGCCCACTTGTCCTTATTTGGAAACTCTGGCCACCTCTACATCCACGTTTACTCACCGATCCCCCGCCATAACGCAAAAAGCGACTTGCCCTTATCTGGAAACTCTGGCCAACGAGCTCCACCCCTGCCCACCTGAACGCCAGCCTCAACCTGTATGGGAACCCTCGACACACAGGTAATCCTCCAACACCAGTTGCATTTACGCTAATAGAGATCCCAGGTAACCGCGTTAATTTTCCTTTAGCGTTCCCAGTGTGAAATACGCCATCATGTCACCTCTTTCGCGTTTGGAGTACTGTACTGTACATACGCAGTCGTGGGATTTCTTTTGGGGTACGGCATGAGGAGTATGCTCCAAGGTCGCCTCGCCATTATAAATTACCCTCGAATCTCCTTCTCCTCCAGCCTTATCTGCCTTACCGCAGTCGACTTATTGACGGCCCTCCAGCATTTCCACAATGAGCATTGACACTCCCGAATTAACGCGTCTTGAGACGCTCCCAACGGAGATTCTCCACGCCGTTGTCGACTACCTTCCACTCTGGGATATTAAAGATCTTTCCTGCGCCAGCAAACGGCTCAGACAAGCCTCTCTGTCGATCCTCTTTCGCCACGTGAAGTTTGAGTTCTCTCAGGCTGGGATTGAGGGACTCAAAGACCTCTTGAAGTCAAATGTTTGCGAACATATTGCCTCCTTTACATACGAATTCACAGAACTGTTGAAGACTGGTACGTCTCCAGTCGCTCGCTGAGTTTACGCTGATGCTACTCTTGAAATCGAGTAGAAATACTAGATTTTGACCATTTTAGGTCCAATATTTTAACTCCCGACAGCTACGTGGATATAGCGAAAGATAAGTACGACGCGGGGTATGAAGCAGATGAATTCCATTCATATATGGCGATATACAAAACCGCCCACGACATTTGTAGTGAGCAGCGCAGCATTATCGATGAGGGTGCTGACCTAATTCTATCATCTATCTTCTGTGCACTTCCTCTGTTGCAGGAGGTGAGATTGTCCTTCTTTGAGGTGCTGGAAGATGACGACTGCCTGTTGACCGCAGACATTATCATAAAAGAAGAGTTTTACAAGCACCATCTACAAGTCGTTTCGAGCGCCATTCAGGCTGCCAGAAGTGCAGGCGTTGTCATCCATACCGTTAGCTTGTTGTACTTTAAGCTTCCATTCTTCTGGAAAGAACCTAATCTAGGCCCTCTATCAGAGTCTCTAAGACAGCTGCTGGTGAACATCAAGGTCCTACGCGTGCGTGGAGTTGACGACCGTGTACTGGAACTGCTGTCTCACTGCGCATTTGATCTGCATCAGCTTGACATGTGTCGAGTGGTGGCTCCTGAAAAGGTCATCAAGGATTTTTTCGAGACCAACAAGAAATCCATTCGTTCTATTGGCTTTCACGACGTTGAAATCCTTAAGTCGAAACTCCCATATAGGAAGACTTCACTGTCGGCAAGCATGCTTTGCCGTATGCTGGATGTGCCACAATCTACGCCTTGCCGAGCGGCTGATTGCGGCTGTCTTCTCTGGTTGAAAGAGGGATGGCGGCTGGGTGTTGGCGAGGGCTGCTCGCAGCTCTCCACTGGCACTTCGTGTTGATATTCCATACATGGCAGCTAAATAGCAATAGCACGCTGCAGCGCTGCTCAGAATTTCATCTTAACTACGCATGTTCTCTACGACTCAACTTTTTCGACACTTTTTTCTGCTATTGTTCGAAATTCGTGAAGTGGTAATCGCATCTGTTGGGGTCTGCATCCACGTTTACTCGCTGCGCTTAAAGCCGTACCTGTCCTTGTTTGGAAACTCTGGCCACCTCAACATCCACGTTTACTCGCCGATGCCCCGCAACCATAGCGCTTAAAGTGCCACTTGCCCTTATTTGGAAACTCTGGCCAACGAGCTCCACCCCTGGCCACTGTGCCCTATGGAAGCCATATTACAAACAAACGATAACAAACTCATTGCCACTAGCAAGGCCATTACTGATGCTCTACAAGCCTCTTCTTCTTTCGCGGGGATCTGACCCGTACCTGTTTCTTGTCTTGCAGCACTGCAAAGACAGTACTGCACTCTTTGTCCTGACCGTATCCTGTTTCTTGTCTTGCAGTACTGCAAAGACAGTACTGCACTCCTTAGTGGCGGTCCTGAACCCTGTATCCCGTTTCTTGTCCTGCAGTACTGCAAAGACAGTACTGCACTCCTTAGTGGCGGTCCTGAACCCTGTATCCTGTTTCTTGTCTTGCAGTACTGCAAAGACAGTACTGCACTTCTTAGTGGCGGTCCTGAACCCTGTATCCTGGTTCTTGTCTTGCAGTACTGCAAAGACAGTACTGCTCTTTAGTGGCGGTCCTGAACCCTGTATCCTGTTTCTTGTCATGCAGTACTGCAAAGACAGTACTGCTCTTTAGTGGCGGTCCTGACCGTATCCTGTTTCTTGTCTTGCAGTACTGCAAAGACAGTACTGCACTTCTTAGTGGCGGTCCTGAACCCTGTATCCTGTTTCTTGTCATGCAGTACTGCAAAGACAGTACTGCACTCCTTAGTGGCGGTGTATTTATAGATGTACTCGGCGTAGCTGCCACTAGGGCGCTGGAACAGCCTATAAATTAATCCGATCCAATCCAATTTGCAGTGGTGGCGTCCTGAGCCCCGTATTCTGTTTGTCGTTTTCCAAAAGTACCATGGTACTAATATATATGTCCACCTGCACGTCACCATTACATTCTAGCTCATTTTGACCATGTTATTCTACGGAATAGCTGCCCCATAGCATATGTCAATGGTGACTCTCGCTTGCCTTTACTAAACTAGTCAAGCATGGCTTCTACGAAGTTTTCCGACTCTTTCTTTCTTGCGGCTAGAGCTGAAATTGAATCGCTAGATCTTCACCATGAAATTGTTGATGAATTAGTGGGCGTGCTCCGCTTAGAGCAAGAGCACATTGGTCATCAGAGCTTCTCAGATGGCGAAATCTACCTTAAGATTGTGGAAGCCAAAATTTTCGGGTTGGAAAAGTATATTCAAATTTGGCAAGCACGCCTCTCGTCTCGCAAACAGACTAGCCTTAAGAGCCTTCTAGGCCGCAAAAAAATATCAGACGCCTTTAACGAGCTTCGTGTTTTCCCAGGCTTGTGGAAAGGACTTGAGTTAGGGAATATTTCGGATCTCCTCGCTCTTCACTGTGACGAGGCAAGTAGGGCTCATTACCTTCTGCTACTAGAAGCTAACTTAAGTGAAGGAAATAATCCACTATCTCCGACATATCAAGTCTGTCTGGGATAAAATAACTCAAGGGAAAGATGCCCTCAAAAGAGCCGTATGCCCTGAGACTGTTCAGTTTCTGCAGCTGCGCGCCCCTGCAGCCAGCACGGCTGATCGGAAATCTATCATCCACGCTATACGGTATGGTACGATATTCCAAAGCGTGCCGGAAAATGACAAGCGAGCAATCACAAGGACGTTGCTGAACCTTACTGTCATTATACCAACGATCAAAACACTACATGAGAACCAAAAGCTCATTGAAATAGGGGTGAAGATCTTGAAAGATACTTTTCTTTTTGATAAAGGGCCACGAACCACCATCCGCCAAGCACTTCGAGAGGAATGGACGCCACCTAGAGACATGAGAATAGAGATTAACGAGGGCCAGTTCCTCTCATTACACAATCTCAGGTCATCAGTTCGGTGGGAACTCACTTATCAGCAAATTTGGCTCTTTATTCTGCGACATTTCCCTGGTCTTAGTGGTAATGCTCCGCGACTAGACTCAAGAAAGAACAAATTGGAAAGTTGCTGCGTTAGAAACTCTGCCACCAGGCGGAGATTTTCTCAGTTTACTGCCCACCTAGGAATTGACAAATCAAAGGTGAACACTGAAATTAGTGCAAAATGCACCCATAGTGTAAGTGTCCATCGCGCTGCCACAGAATCATCAGCCGATGGCGAAATACGGGACCGGCGATGCGGACGACCATTCTACAGCTCATACATGCGATACAAGAACGAGCTTTACTTGCCTACGCTAGCTAAGACCTTGACTCGCAGCTATAATGAACTACCAACTTCGACATATGTGCTTAGAGACTTCATGCTCAGCTTCTTTGGGCCAACTAGCATATCAGTCCGCCCTAACGAGAAACCACTAAAGCACTCTATCTTTATAAGCGACGACGACACTCTAAGTGAGTCGATCACTAGTTCAAGGGTCTCTAGCGATGACGACGACGCTGTTGAGGAATCGGCTGGCCTTCAGACCATCAACGATGACGACTTATTACCTTACTTCAATAACGAAGAAGGATTAGAAGATGAAGCAACTTCCAGACAACGCTCTCCACCGCAGTCAAGCGTTGAAGTTACCCACAAAAAATTGCCCGAGATACATCCGGAGATATTCCAGCAAAAACCAGTATCCCAGCCGGACAACACTCTTGGTGATGCCCTAGGAAGTCCGATTCCGCTTAACGCTATTCAGGGAGATTTATCGCACCAGCGTCTGAACGCTGAATACCAATATTTAGGTGCATCTGGAGTAGAGGACGAAGCTGAGGTGCCAATGATGAGCGGCGCTCTCATCAAAATCTCCCAACCGGCCTCTGTTGTTGGAACAGATCGGGATGGCGATCATATCATGACAGAAAATAGCCAACTTGCTCTAGGAGAGAGTTTAAAGCATAATTCTCGGCTTTACAGCTATAGAACTAGTGGGCTATTGCCAAACCGTGAGAGGCCTCGCTCTCCGATATCACAGGGCCTACTAGTGGATGCTCGCAGCGACGGCTTTAGGAACAGCATTAATGAGTCTCAAGCACTCATGATAACAGAAGGTCAACCCTCTCAAAATAATTCTCGGCTTATTTTTCAAAGCCCCTCTCAGGATAATTCTCAGCCTATTCTTTCAAATAGGCTATTACCAAACCGGGTGAGGGCTCGCTCTCCAATTCTACAGGGCGCACCAGAAGGCCCACCTACTCAACCTACAGAAATCGAGAAGTTAGATAGGCTGGTTAGCGTTAATCAGTCCGAAGTACTCATGATAACAGAAGGTGAACCTTCTCAGAATAGTTCTCAGCCTCCAAGCCCCTCAGTTACAGAAATTGGGTTAGATGGGCCGTTTAGGGTCGTTAGTGGGCTATTACCAGACCGGGAGAGGGCTCGCTCTCCAATTCTACAAGGCGCACCAGACTTTATCAACAGCATCAATCAGCCCAGAGTACTCAGGATAACAGAGGGTGAACCTTCTCAGAATAATTCTCAGCTCATTCTTTCAAGTACCTCAGTTACAGACATTGGGTTAGATGGACCGCTTAGGGTTGCAAGTGAGCTATTACCAAACCGGGAGAGGGCTCGCTCTCCGATTCCACAGGGCGCACCGGACTTTAGCAACAACTTCAATCAGCCCCAAGCACCCATGAGAGCAGAAAGTCAACCTACTCAAGAAGAGAGCTCAATTAATAACTCACGGCTTATTCTTCCCAGTCTCTCTGCAGATATCGAGATGCTAGATAGGCCGGTTAGCGTTCTAAGTGGGCTATTACCAAACCGGGAGAGAGCTCGCTCCCCGATTCCACAAAGCGCACTCGACTTTAGCAACATCTTTAATCAGCCCGAAGCACTAATACTACTGAATGCGGGTAACACAGCCCGCATTCATCACAAGGTGCCCAAAATAGTGCATACAATGCAGAAGCGCTTCCAACGGAGGCGCTCGTTGCTTAACAGAAACATCTCTCAACAAGATCAGAGCATTTCAGGCACAAGAAATGAGAACAGGCTTGCGGTCGTTATAAACAATTCAGTTATGCAGCCTTTCGAGAGCGCAGCTATTAATAGTCATGGGGCGTCGCCATCGCCATCTCTCGTCGAAACCTCTCTCTATCATCAGACAGATGCGGAGCTAGAGCCTGTCGTGCCAGGGCGCGAAGTCGCTATAAAAAGATCGATATCCATATTTGAGTACAATGGAAACCAGTTGAGGTCAATGACGATCCGCAATGCCGCTTTGCTAGACGAATACTTATTAAAACGCAAAAATAATTGGATAATGTTTGGTGGCTCCTCTATTTCAAAACCGTACATTATCAAGCCAAAAGATAGATTGATGATGATTCACCGAAAAGAAGGATGGAAATTTGTTTTTGTACGTGAGCAACATAGAATACTTTGGATGGATAAAGGCAGTGAGCTTATGGCGAAACGACTTGGGAATGACAGTCCGAGGATTCCAGTTCGTGCGCAGCAAGTCCTCGATGAAACATTCGAGTCTGAGCCTGCAACCACCTCTCAAATCCAGGGCGAAGCGGAACTGTTTGCTGCATCGGATCGTGAGGATGAGGCTGTAAAAAAGCTAGAGACAAGACAGAAAGAGCAAGTGGTAGCTCAAAGGGCTCAACAGGAGCAAGAGGCAGCCCAGAAAGCTCAGCAAGAGCAAGAGGCAGCCCAGAAAGCTCAGCAAGAGCAAGAAGCAGCTCAGACGGCTCAGCAAGAGGCAGGTCAGACAGCTCAGCGACAGCAAGAAGCATCCCAGATAGCTCTGCAAGAGGCGGCTCAGAGGGCTCAGCAAGAAGCAGCTCAGCAAGAAGCGGCCCAGATAGCTCAGCAAGAGGCAGCTCAGACAGCTCAGCGAGAGCAAGAAGCAGCCCAGATAGCTCTGCAAGAGGCAGCTCAGAGGGCTCAGCAAGAAGCAGCTCAGACAGCTCAGCGAGAGCAAGAAGCAGCCCAGATAGCTCAGCAAGATGCAGCTCAGAAAGCTCAGCAAGACGCAGCTCAGAAAGCTCGGAGGGCTCAGGAAGAAGCAGCTCAGAAAGCTCAGCAAGAGCAAGAAGCAGCAAGAAATTACAAGCTTAATTTGCCTATTCCACATGTCTTTGATAAATCTCACTTATCTGAAATTGAGAAATGCAATGAAGAGGATCGCAAGTTCTGGATAAACATATATGGAGCTGCAGTAAGCTGCCAAAAAACTCAAGCCAAAATACTCCAAACACTTAATACAGAAGAAATGGAGAGACAGAAAGACATTAGAGCATTTAAGACAGCTCCTGAGCAGCTTCTTAATGGTCCTACAAAGTCTACTAGAGAATTACGTTTACAGTTCAACGAGCAAGGGGCTAGACTACAGGAGATCAACATTGCCATTACTTCAACAAATCTTAACGCAGATCGAAATGAATTCTTTGGACAAGTCCATACACACAGCTTAGTGGAGCCAAAGCTAAACAACCAAGTCGACTTTAAGTTAATGGTAACTCAAAATCGTGAACTACAGAGATTACTAGCAGAACCATACTATAAAGCCTCTCAACTCCAACACTACCACCGCAATTATATGAAGGCTATAAAGGCAGGTAGACATGATAAGTCTATTGAGACTAGAATTCTTACTAGCTTAGATGATATTAACTACGTTATTAACTTTATTGTCCTAGGGGAATTTACAGAGGTTATGGCAGCAGACCAAAAAAGGGAGGAGAAAGAGTTAAAAAGGAGCCAAAATGGAAGGATCAGCAAAGAGCAAAAGAAGGATCTTAACCAAAAGTATAAGTTAGCAGAGGAAAAACTCAAGACTGCTTGCTTAGTATATGTTCCTAATGAAGGAGTGTACGATTATACACTATCAGATTTTTCACTAGAGGGGGAAGAAGATTCTGACACTGATTCACTTATGTCAGGTATAAACGATAAAGTTCATATCGAGCAGCCTGGAGATGGTGTAGACGGCCAATCCGAAAAGAAAAAGCTACCAGATCAGGTTTTTGAGATTCGGTCTAGAATGGGTGGTCGCGATGGACCTCTATTCACCCTTGTCCAGGCTAAATTAAAAGGGCTAGATACTAGCAAGGCATATGAAGAGCTAAAGATTTTAGCAGGCAAGGTCGATGAATACTGCGATACAAACAAAATTGACCCAGCAACCTATGCGTTAGACGACACCCAAATTGACGCTTTCTGTGGCATGGTAAAGGACGTTCAAACTGCCTTAGACATGCTAAAGGCTGACCTCAATAACAACAACACCCAGAATGAGTATAAACAGTTGAGAATTCGTGCTGAGCTTTTCATACAAGAACACCAGTGGCCAGAGACGTTTCTAGATACGTTTGTCCCAACTGAGAATGAGATTGTAAGTCTAGTACAGGACGAGATTAAGAGAGTAGCGCAGAAGGAGCAGGAGGCAGCTCAAACGGCTCAGAAAGAGCAAGAGGCATCTCAGAAAGCTCAGCGAGAGAGAGAAGCAGCGAGAAATTCCAAGCTCCAAGAGCAGCAACCATCTGCTAGAAAACAAACGGATCTACTTAATAAGGGCCAAGAAAATCACCAAGCTCACCCACCTAACATACAGGAACGAGCCGAAAAACCTGCTCTTCCGGAGAACCACACGGCGCAAGACAGCTACACAACTGAAGGCAACGCTGAGAATCCGGAAGGCAACCAGGCTCGGACAGAAGCGGGCGACCAACCAGCTAGGACAACCTTTGAGCCCCAACCCAAGCAATCGGATCCAGTGGCTAAAGATAAAGCAACGGTACGAACTGCAACAGAATTCGAGCCAGACGGCAGCGGTGCAGAAGACTTGACAACTGAGGATAAGCGGGCGTTGAAGCGTTCGGCCCGGAAGGCAAAAAAACTAGAGAGGGAACAAGAAAAGAGGGCGCTTTTTCTAAGCGAGTATAAGCCTATGGTGCAGAAAAGATCGTTTGGTGAGATGAAGAAGGGAGGTGGTGTAGCGGCTTGGAATTATAGTGGAGGGAGAGAAGACAAGGAGCAAAGTACGAAGCGATCACTCAATGAGCTGAGAACGAATGACCTACCACAAGAGAATTATGACGGGGACGCAGAGGAACCCACAGTTCGTAAGAAAAAGCGAGTAAGGGATCCTCCAGAAGATGATTCCTGAAATTTCCGAAGACGAGGAATTATAGAGACAGCTCATAAAGCTCAGGGAGAGCAAGAGGCAGCTCAGAAGGCTCAAGGAGAGCAAGAGGCAGCTCAGCGAGAGAAAGAAGCAGCTTGAAGGGAGCATAGTATACTAACATCCCTTCCTGCGTAGCGAGAAGCCGAAAATTATGGGTACTTTGACTTTAATCATCTAAAATTCTACGCACGGATATATATCTCTCATATTCTTTGCATAAGTCATGTTTTATGGTCTAAAGCCATCCCATTATAATATCGGGTTTGCCCTCATGCCTGATTTGTGGAGAGGCTCCACCATCCAAAACCCGCACTATGCGGGAGATCGTCGTCAGCCTTAGGGCTGATACAAAACGTACCTCGAATTAAACTAACGACCCACAAAGGACTGTGGCTGGTGCGAGGCTGAACTGCGGCATGGTGTCTCTGGCATATCACGTGGAGATTACGGGAAATATCCAGCACAGACGATAGACCCCACGCCAGTTAACCCACACCAGTTAACCGGGCCCAGCCCTGTCTACGGGAAGAAGATCGTTACTTCGAAGCAAACAACAAGCAATCCATTCGCCAAATTAACTCCTAGCGACGCAACTACCTATTTAGCAATCCCTCCTTCCCACCTGACATTGCTTGCTGCCGTGCAATCATTCTCCGTTTTAGAGTCTGATCAGTACCCATTTGAACCTTCTGAATTCGTCCTGGATTGTTTGTTTTGCCGTTACCATATTTAGTATTGTTATGACGGGGCATCCCAGCTAATTGCCATATACGAGACTGTTCGCCTTGATCCTGAGCCATGTTTCCCCACTGAAGGTCAAGCAAACTCCCATCAACGTCGTTAATGAGAGACGCCTGTGGCTGCGTTTCCGCACTAATTGATTCTTGATCGGCGAAGGGCGGCGACGATCCAGCTTCGTAGATAGACCCTAAGTCTAAGTTTTGGCAAGTCTCAGGTACGAACAAGTCGTCTTCTAAAAGTTCTAGCTCAGAAGAAGTGCTCCGTCTCTCTCTTTCAGACTCCTCCAGTACCTCTGCCTCCCGAACAGTCATGAAGTCTTTGGGCCTGAATTCGTTGGCATTCTATTGACGTTAGATTAGTAACTCTATTATATGGCAGACGCACTTGGATATTAAGACTGGAGAGAAATCCGTCTTCCGTTCTAAAGGTGTCGACTTTTCCGTCGTATTCAAGGATAATCGCAATTCTTACGTCGAGGCACAACCTTCGAAGGTCGCAAGCCTTCTTCATGAGCCCGTCCTTCCTTGTCATCAGCTGTCTTATCTCTCGCCCAGATCGAGACGACATGGTGCTGTTGCGTTGAGTTGCGTCTAATTACTGTTGCGTCGAATTACTGTTCCGTCGAGTTACTGTTCCGTCGAGTACTGTTATAGAGTTACTGTTATAGAGTTACTGTTGCTAGATTGTAAGTTCGTGAATTATATATACCAACTCGAGATTTAACCCCAACATGGGTTTCTAGCGCTAGGTAGGCGCGCAGTTAACCGCCGAGTAGTGAATGCTCTTTAGTGGAGTGGTGGTTTTAGCACCAGCGAGTAAATATAGACGACGGCGCTTAACCCAAGCTTGGGAGGCCATATGGCAGACCGCCCCAATCATGATTATACGTCCCTTTATATCTCCATCATTCCCAAGCCATCTTGATTCTCTCTTCAACAAACCTCACTTACTTTTTTCACAATGATTATCACCATCAGTCAATGGTATGCCATTGCGCTTGGCATCATAGCAGCAACTGCTGTGATATTCTCCCGCTCTAGCCTTTTTCTATTATTATTCATCTACAGCTGCTTTAAGGGATGGTTCTATCGAATGTTATGGTATCCTTTATTGATCCAGCGGCGATATTCAGGCAGCGTCTCTCGCGCCCAAGGGCTATACGTGTCCGCATACATTGTCATGAATGGCTTTTGTATGGGTCTTGGCATACGATCTACCCACCTCACTACTGATCTGATCTCAAGAACCGGGGTGATGGCGTCTATAAATATGGTACCTTTATTCTTAGGCGGGCGCACAAGTATAATGGTCGACATGCTTGGAGTCTCCGTTCATTCCTACTACCTCGCGCATCACTGGATTGGCCGTGTGGTTGTCGTCCAAGGGCTAATTCACGCTGGTTTGGTGATGAGCAAAGTTAAAACTTCGACCTTTGATGCCACACAGGTGGCAGGGCTATCAGTAAGCAATTGAGCCTTATTTATAGCTATATTCTAACAACCTTTAGGCTGCGTCCGCCTCGGCACTACTGCTAGTACTCTCCTTACATTTAATCCGAAGAGCAGCTTATGAGTTTTTCCTTGGACTACACACATTGCTTGCGCTTATAGTCGTGGTAGCTCTGTCAATCCATTTGGCATCAAGAGGGTGGATTAGGTACATCTATCCACTAGTCGCCGTACTGCTGTGGACAATTAATGGATTAACCCGTCTTGTTCGAGTCTTTTACCTCAATGCTGGCCAGGGGTATAGGCAAAGGGACCAGGCAACGATCATTACCCATAAGCGGCCTGAAACAGGTTCCGTTAGCGGCCTAACGTTGACAGTATGGCCAAAACGCCCAGTGCGTGTTCAAGGTGGCGCCTACTACTACCTTTATTTCTCAGACATGGGCCTACGGAAGCGGTTTCAGGGCCACCCATTTGTGGTGTCGTGGTGGGATGACCCAGTTGATACAAAACCCACGTCTTTATCATTTCTGATATCTCCTCGACATGGCCTAACAAAGGCTTTAACAACTCGAACATCTGTTAGAAGTGTCATTCTAGATGGACCATATGGAATAAATCCACGTCTCGAGGGCTATGAGGCGGTCCTTCTCTTTGCCAAAGGTATTGGCATTGCAGGAATGCTGCCACATGCACTAAATCTTGTGGAGCAAAAGAATCACAAAGACATGACTTCCTGGAGTAGCGTCATGACGAGAAATGTTGACCTTATCTGGGTTTTAGAAGAAAACTGTCAAGAGCAGTGGATTGACAGTTGGATAGAAAAACTAAAAGAGAAGGACCCGATTAACAAGGTGAGTGATTCTGCATTTAAACAGGTGATTGCATACTAAATTTGGGGGAAAGCGCATTCTATCAGTAATATGCTACCTTCCTAGCCGTCAAGGTAATGCGGATGGCTCTTCAGATCGGTATTATAAAAAGTTTTATGGGGAGCAACCGAATATTCGGGAAGTGATTGATGAGGCGGTAAAGGCAGCACCAGGACGAACCATAATAGCCGGTAAGCATTCCTGTTCTACGTTTACTGTTGGGTTCTAAGAATTAGTCTGTGGCGACCCAAAATTCAGCAGCCATGTGCGTGACTTAGCCATTGACAGGATGAAGAGCTCACAGAACGTTACATTTGAGGAGGTTGAGTTCCGACCTTATCAAACTACATCCGACAGCTTAAGTAACCACAATTGGTGGATGGACGCTGTTGAATCCCGGGTAGAAACCTCCGAGGCTGGTACTGAAACTTCTACGGCTGTGGTGTTCGAGAGGCCTATGGGGACGGATCCTAAGACTGGGCGGAGCATGGTAAAGAAAAACCTTCAGGCGAGGAAAGAAATTTAGGAGAGGAAAGACATCATATTGTAAAGGGCATAGTTAGACCTTCATGGCAATACGAGCTATTTTAGGGGAGCTCGATCTATCCATCCAAGCTCTCTATGATGATGCCCATGGCAGCTATATTTACAGAAAGTTCCATGCACTAGAACACGAAGACATAGCTTCATAGATTCAACCTAATTCTCTCATTTAAAGTACGGCATTTCTAATAGCCGTTATCCTTACTCCGCTTCTAATACCACCAAAACCGTCCCCCGTTGTCAGCCTACCGCTTCCCTGTTCCTGCATCCTGTATCTTCGATCACGACAGCGGCTTCGTGGAAACGGGAGATGGTCGGCTGGCTTCGGTGCTTTGACCTCTACTGCCTTCTTCTTGTTCGGAGGGCCAGAGGTCAATTACCCTGAATCCTGTGTCCGCGATGACGACAACGGCTTCATGGAAACGAGGTGTAGTTAATGGCCACCTATTTTTAGGGCCTTTAAGGGACCTTTTAAGGGACCCGCAAATGACCGTATTCTGAATAAGGAAACTTGAACCTTGATATCAGTTATTAGTATCCAGAATACAGTTATCCGCGTTGTGCTAGAAAGTATAAAATGGCAGATGATGTCTTCAAAAACTGCTGAATTACTGCAACACAAGAAGATCTCATCGCGTACGCAACATATCACTACGATAACCTATCTCCAACCATAAATTGAACAGATTGCTGGCCAATCTTTATCAAGCAAACATCAAGCAAAAATGGAATCCATCAGTGTAGCTACGCCGGCGGATCAAGTCACCGGGGGTGGAGGAGCTCCAGCTGGAGGAAATCAGACCAGTGGCGGTCAAACCGGCAAACTTCAAATCGAAGACAACTATGTCGCCAAGCCACAGTCGCGCCTGCCTATTCCACATGTCTTTGATAAATCTCACTTATCTGAAATTGAGAAATCCAACGAGGAGGGCCTCAAGTTCTGGACGATTCAATATGGAGCTGCCCGAGGTTTCCAAGCAACTCAAGCCAAAATACTCCAATCACTCGAAATGGGAGAAATAGAGAGACAGAAAGATATTAAAGCATTTGAGACAGCTCCTAAGGAGCTCCTTGCTGGTCCTACAGATTCCGCAAGACAATTACGTTTGCAGTTCAAAGAGCAAGTGGCTAAACTAGAGGAGGTTAACAACGCCATTGCTTCGACAAATCTAGCCGCGGATCGAGATGAGTTCCTTGGACAAGTTCATACATACGGGTTAGTAGAGCCAAAGCTCAACGACCAATATGACTTCCAGTCAATAGTGACTACAACTCCTGCATTACAGAGTTCACTAGCAAAACCATACCGCAAAGCCTCTGAACTTCAGCACTACCACCTCAATTATATGAAAGCCACGGAAGGCGGCGCACGTGATTCATCTATTGAGACTGGAATTCTTGAAGAGTTGAGTAATATTAATGACGATATTGACATGTTAGTGCGGACGGTATTTAGAGAGCGCCTAGCGGTAGAACGAAAAAACGAGGAGCAAGAGTTGAGAAGGAGCCAAAACGGAAAAGTCAGCAAAAAGCAAACGAAGAATCTCGACCAAAAGTACAAGTCGGCAGAGAAAAAAATAGAGGTCTCTTGCTTGGTATATGTTCCTATTGAAGGAGAGGACGATTATACTCTACCGGATTTTGGACTAGAGGAGGACGATGATGATTCTGACACCGCATCCCTTATGTCAGGTGTGGATGATGAACCGCATGTTGAGGAGCCTGGAAATGGTGAGAACGGCCAGTCTGAAAAGAAACCACTACCAAAAGAGATCTATGAAATCCGTTCTAGAATGGGTGGTCGCGATGGACCCCTATTCACCCTTATCGATGCTAAACTAAATGGGGTAGAAGGCAATGAAGCATACAATGAAGCATACCAAAAGCTTCTAGCTTTATCAAACGAGCAAGCTAAATTCTGCGAAGCAAATAAGATCGACCCAGCAACCTATGCGATAGGTGACGCTCAACTCAATCCCTTCTTTGAGATGGTACAGCAAGCTGTTACATGCAAGAATTTGCTAAAGACTACCCCTAACGACCCAAACATTATGTCACAGTACATAGGTCTAAGGGAAGCTGCATGGCTTTTTATACAAGAGCACCAGTGGCCAAAGACGTTTCATGATACCTTTCTCCCAACAGTGTATGAGATTTTGTCGATTATCGCCAAAGAAGCAGCTCCCCCGCCTGCTTTATCTGGTCCACCACCTGCTCAAAACGCTCTACCGCCTGCTCAAAACGCTCCAC